TTTTTTCAGTTGATATTGTTTCTAAGTTCGTTAAATAATTTTATTTTAACCCTACCTAGACCGGGTCTTTTTTTGACGAGGTGGGGGGACCGGGGGGGGGCTCTTTGACCCCCCCCTAAGAAATAGCGAACGGTATGTCGTATGACGACCAAATTTTCAGAGAATGGTGTACTAGTAAAAATTTATCATATCTACAATTTATGTCGTAATGACGTAATATGACGTCGTTATGACGTCATTAATGTGATTTCATTGCCCAAAACCGTCTGAATAGGTTTTTCCCTGAAAACTAAATGGTATTCAACATAACTGTACCAAAAGTGTTTATGACAGAATATTATGGTGTACTAAGTCTAATGTTGCCCATAGCAACACCGGTGACGTCCTAAAATGACGTCATGCATATTTAAGATATCCGCCATCTTGGATCATCAATTTTGAATTTTCAAAAATAGTTTTTTTTCATGATAAAGCCTAAAATACATTGTAAACATATTAAAGACCTTCATTTGAACCTTTTTTGGAAAAAGAAATGGAAGTATTGATGAAATTTTGATGAAAATAACCTGTATATACCTGTTCTAAAGATATGGTCCGCCATCTTGGATTTTGGCCAATGACGTCATCAAATTAGCATAGATTATGCATTTTTAATGATAAAATTTACATAAAATTATATGGGATGTTATTAATATTAGAAACCATCAGTAACTTGTCATAAAACCCTTAAAATTCTATTGTTGAAACAAAAAGTACTAAATTTAGCAAAAAATGCCTGTCAGAAACCCGTTGCCATGGCAACACAAAATAATTATCATCTTATTCCAATGATAGAGAATTGTTGCCAACAATATTCTCGGAAAAGTCACCAAGTTTGGACGTTCTACGGCTAGCCGTTCAGACGCTAGGTGACATCAAAGTTGCCGCGGGCACTTTTAGCCCCCCCCCCCCGGTCTAGGTAGGGTTTAGTAGGTTTGATAAATATATCGTACACATAGAACTTCATGTTAGCAAATAGTCTTATATCACTACGTTTTTCTTGTCATATCTGTTTGCAATTAACCCTCGGGCATGAATTATAATTCCATAGCACAGCATGAGTATTGATTTTTTTTAAATCATTCAAGTAAAACTGTTTACGTTTCAATGTTACAAATGCATACATGCTTGTAAAATGTTCTGATGCTACATGTATGCATTGCAAGGCTTCGTGTTGTCTGTATTGGAATGGGTTCCAGTGGAATTTTTTACTTGCGTGTTAACTTTATATTTACTACAATAACACTTAAATTGAGTTAACTTGTCTAGAGTTCATTTGTACCTATGTTTATTTCCATCAACGTAATTAATAAACACATTTACATGTCTATATATCAGTGTGGGTGAGGTTAAGTACTGTTAAATATGTACTTGGTCAGCTGTACAGTCACAGTTTTGTATCCGTGACTTTTTTATCACATACGAATTTGTTCTTATTGGATGTCCATCGTCAAGCGATGATGGTTATTCCTAATGTTTTAAATTAATTGCGTTTACCTTCGGTTTCATGATGTCATTCATAACTCTGTCGCCCAGCTTTAGTACTTATGTTTACATCATTCAAGTAAAAAAGTGATAATCCAATGACTCAAATAATACTTGTATATAGACCAATATTTTTCAAATGTTCTTATATACATGGTTGCCTTAAAAGGTATCGTGCTGTCTACTAGTATATGATGTGGAGGGGATGGTTTATAAATGCCTGTTTAATGTTAATCATATCTACTAACACAACAAATATCAATTTGAGTTTTCAATTTTCAACAATACGTTCTTACCTGTGCCTTATTCTGTCTGATTATGAATCGACTCTCTGAAGTGCTTACCGATATTTGAAATGGACATACTTTGTTCAGTACGCTTTAAGAGATTGATTAGCACAAAGTATGGTTCTAGTCATACGCAGACGTATGTGGCATAGTAGTTATATATCACGCTTTATCTAGTACCTAAATTATGAATATCAATGAAACTAAATCTTGTTATTTTACTCAGTTTAAAACGCAAAATAAAAAGAGAACTATATACCCAACACTTTCAAGTTCCATGTTGTACAATCGTCTCATTATTCTAAATATGAAGGTGGGCGATCAGTTGTCTTAGATAATACACCACTGTCCTTATCTTCAAACTTCATCTGTGTTGGTAGAAGTCATTATGAAGCAAGTTTAAACTGTAATGCCCAACTCAAGAAAATGGACTCACCCAAATTTTCGACTGTAGAACTCCAGTCTTTGTCAAGGAATGAGCAATCCACCGCTTCCGTGACGTCACTCAGATGCAAACCACCGCTTCCGTGACGTCACTCAGATAACACGAGTGACTCCGTCAGCAGTGGATCATAGGTTGCAGAAAGTCTGTGGCGCCCCCGTCTCTGTTGAGGGATGGTTGTAATGCCCTGATGTAGATGGCCTCTTTAATCCCTCGTGTAAAGAAGTCCGGTTCCAAATTCATGGAGCTGCCATGGGGTTACCTGTTTAAACTTGCTTCACACCACTATCCTGTCTATTATCTGTTCTAGTACCATCTTAGCCTTTACGCAACATGGATCACGAATTCCTCCACCCAACCATAGCACGATATTTCCATCCACAGCACATTTCTAACGTGCTGGATGGAGGGGGGGGTTGTTTTGTGTGGCAGTACTTCACCTCAAGTAATAATCTACTTGCAAAGTAAATGTCAGTGACAAAAAAAAAATCTAAAAAAAGGTGATAAACCTTCCACGAATAATGATTTTACTAAGATGTATGTTGACTAAATACTAGATTAGACGCTAATTTCTTTTTAAACCCCACAAGGTGTTGCCCACCATCAAAACGTCGGGTGGGCTGTCGGGGCTTCAGTTTGTACGGAAGCCCTGACACTCCTGGGCATCCTCATCAGGGCCCGATCTGCTGCATGGTTGC